AAAAAAAAAAAAAAAAAACTGCAGACCTTGCTTAAATCAATAAATTAATTCAATTCCTTATGGGAGATGGAATTTTTGAATGGTGTCCCTGGCAATGGACATAACATGAGAGCCAAATTCTAGGCTTTGTAAAATCATCATTTACAACTGCAAGGTCAGAATTTGGCCAGGCTGGTTAAAGGAACTCAATAGAAAGATTAACTGCACAGAAAAGATGCTTAGGAGCTATAGCACTGACATAAGTGACAAGACCTCAATTCTGCCTTTAGACAGCAGAAGTCAAGCACTGTGTGACCACTAGATACTGCTCTGCACTTTGTTCTGCAGCCTACACACTCCAGAGCAGAAGACTGCCTGCTTCCTTTAAATAAAATGAAAGTATTTTAAACTAGTTGCATGCTGTCTGCTGCAAAGCTGTGGCAGTAAAACAGTCTGACTCAATTTTGGTCTTGTCAGACTGCTAAAATACACAGTACCAGGACTTGCATCTCTGATAATCCACTTGTACCATACATCTTGACTCTAACACTTAATTTTTTTCTTTTTCATGTATGATTTTAATTAACCCTTACTCTGGTCCAATAAGCCTGTCTGTCATACAGAGATGACATATTTTAATGGCCTGAGCCTCAGTTAGTTGCCTCAAATTCCTCTGAAAACATGATAGCTTAAAATTTTAATTTTTAAAGAGACTCAATACTCTAAAACTTCTGAAAGCTTAGGACAGTTTACCAAATAAACAGACTGACTATAATCTCAGTAAAACTGGTAGTAATTTGGAAGCCAAAAGATGGAACAATCTAGAACTAAATGACAACTTTAACACTTCAGTTTTGTTTCTTATGTCTAAACTGAAGTGATGCTATGGCCCCACAGAGGAATTTTAACATGTCTCTGTGCCTATCAGATCCCTCTTGCAGCATCAAAGGAACAATTTTGACACCTAATGTAATTGAACAAACAGTTCAATAAAATCTGCAATTGGTTTGAAGCCATTATGGATTAAACCTTAGATCGATAGCACTTTATAGCTTACTGTGATTTTGGGACACATGAAATCTTGCAGGACAGGTTTTCTACTTGTCTGTATTTCCTCATCTCTATTCTCCATGTGTGATTAATCATTTAGCTGGACAAAAATCCACTTGCAGAGCTCTCAGAAAAAGCTGTACTTCCACTGTTGGTCTTCTAGAGCCACAATAGTTTAAATGGTGACTAGAACCTGAGGTTGACCTTGGATACCTCAAGCCCCCTCTCAATCAGCTTTGACCTCAGTCCTAAGGAGCCCAAATCCATTTGTATTCAGCATCCCTCTGCACCTCCACTGCCTCTGTCCTGATTGCACAGAAATTTCTGCCATTCATTTTGATTTTCATTTTAACTCTCTTTTCCTTCCACAGGAGTCAGAAAAGCCTCAACTTTTATTTCATGGGTAAAAAGAAGAACAGGACCTAGCACTGTTTTAATCAACTCTACTGATCGGGCTGAAGCCATCATAAAAGCTGATGATTCAGCAGTGATTGGCTTCTTTAGGGTAATTATCTGGAAAACTCAAAAGGCTGGTTCTGTTCCAGCTTTGGGATATACTGCTTGCTATCACCACCAGAACCCACATATCCAAAAGACCAAGAACTCACCAGAAAAATGCAGACCCTCAGTTTTATCTACATTTGAAAAAAAAAAAAATTAACAGCCTCTATCTATTTTTTCACAGTTTTAGACAAGCAGCCGAGGCAGAAATTAGGAAATCTTACACCACAGCACATTTCCTTAACCAGTACCTGGGCACAGAGACTCTGAGAGCAGGGTGCTCCAGCAGTGTTAGCACAGCTCTGGCTGGTCACAGCAGTGTTTCCTGCATCCTCAAAGAAAGGCCTTCTGCCAAACCCTCCCAAATTTTCCTGAAGTGAAGAAGGCCAAATCTGCATAGATGGAAAGTCATAAAATATTACCACTGTATATGATCCAACACATGTAGTCCTTTCTCAAGCAAATTCTACCAGTTTCCAGAGCAGAACAATGTTGTTAGGATTTGGGCTGAATGCTAGTGATCAAAAGTCAATAGAAATGCTGTCAGAGTGAGTAAAATAGGAACAGTATTTTCCTGCTTTTTCAATGTGTCCTTGAGATCTTTAATACTGGAAATTCAATCAAGGATTTTCACTAACTAAAGAGACTTTTATTCTGATAAAAGTCTGATTTTTACTCTGTGCAGTTAAAAGCACAGTCTGGACTCATACCTGAACTGATAATATCCCAAATGTGCTGGCTACAGCAGATAGTCCAAGTTCTGTGGCTATGGAAAACAGGATTCATTACCAAAATGCCCCATAGTAACTAAGCTGGTGAGCACACAGAACATAACAGGACAAACTGTGAAAATGCTCAGTGCCCAGAATATTGCTTTGCAGCAATCTGCTTGCAGCTGTTTAAGAAGGAAGGCAGTTTTCCAGTGCTGGGGGAAATTGAGAAGCTCTTTCTATCACAGTGGTGCCAGAGAGTTCCCTGAACCATACTGATAGCAGATATTGCCTGCAGATGTGTTTGACTGGACACTGGTATTGCTTGGGCTGAAATGACAATATATGAGCATGAGCTTAATGGGTGAAAGCCAACAAAACAGTGTCCAAGCAAATAAAGAGCCATATTTGGCTTCTATTACTCACAGATTGCTCACAAATATGAGTGCCAGGATGTGTTGGAAGGTCTCAGCATATAAATTACTATTCATCTAGCATGAAATAATTGTCTGATTAAATCAAATCTGGAAGAGCTGTTGCCTTTCATCCTGCTTATTTACTATTAGTGTGAGGGTGGACAGCACAGTGACTATTTGACAGATGCAGGAGTCAAGGTCCCTGCCTGAAGAGCACTCAGTCTAAAGCCCCAGATGTGCCAGTCAGCTCCTCTTGTGAGCAGAGAACTCTCCTGAGATCCCTCCCTCCTGCCAGCTGTGCAGGGGGCAGCTGCTGGCACCATCCCTCCCAGCCTGCAGAAGGCTTTGCAGAGGGTGGCAGTGCCAGGGGAGAGCAGGGAGGATGAGATCAGTGCAGGGAGGCCAGAGGGGACCCTACACCATCTCTGCTGACCCAGGCCAGCCCACAAAAGCTGTGTCACAGCACTCCTAGGTTTCCCCCTTAGAGATAATCTTGGAAAGCATTATCCACTTTACAATTATACTCTGCTCTTCACAAGATTTTAGGGGCCTGCTTCACCTGCAGCTCTAACTCCTACACACCTTAGCAGGATGTAGGGCAAAGTCTTAATAAATACTCTTTCTGGGTCTAGGAACTTCACAATGACAGTGTGGAAGTTTTCTGTGAGACAGCAAGAGATGTGCCAGAGATGCCTTTTGGGATGACAGTCAGTGAGGATGTCTGTGCTAACTACGGTGTCCAAAGGAACTCTCTCATTGTGCTTAAGAAGGTAGGAGTACAAAAGTCTAGCAGGTAAGGTGTCGTGACAGCTGTGGGCTCTGGAAAGGCAGTTTGGGAATTTTTCAGATTATATATAAATTTTATGCCTAAGGATCTGGGTATAATAGCTTTACTTTCCAGACATTCACATCTTTTTTTTGTGTGTTGCTTTTGACTAGGAATTTTCTTCCAGTCCACAACAGAAGAAGTGGCCAGCAACAAAACCAAAACTACACAGAGTAGCAGCAATATTTGGACTAGGAGGTAGTCAGACTAATGATTTCCTGAGTGAGCATATCTCACAGATACTGTGTATAGATGTAGGAAAGATCTTTCAGTATGTCAACTTTACTGAACAAATTAAAACTGTCAGATGTACCTTGAATTTTAGCTGTAATCTTGTTCTGCAATCTAGCTGTGACATTCATTTTACAAGCTATGGGATTTCAGTTGCTGAGGATCATAAAATTCACTTTTAAAGCCTGTCATTTTGCTCCTATAGTTGATAAGGTCACCAACCTCACAAACTTCACTATTTGTCCAGGGAAAACCTGTGCATAATGAAGTGCTTGAAGATGGTAAACAGAGCAAACTGGGCCTGACGAGGCTAATCAAAACCTTTACTTTGGGTTTGGTCACTGAATACAATATTGAGGTATGTACATTTCACTGTATTAGCAAAACATATGGGAGAAGGACAGAAATCCATGCAGAAAGAGACCTAGGGAGCTACTCTGCACCTCAGGGAGTGAGAGTTTTCTTTGCTTGACAAGGCCACTCTTAAAGACATCTAGAAATGCCAGCAGAACCCAGCAGGCAGCTCTTGGTCTAACCCAGGCCAAATGATGCTTCCCCCTGGCAGGATGCTGTTTCCTAGAGGTGAGGGGTGGCTGGTGGAACAGCGAGCTCTGAGCATGCAAAGACCTCCCAGTTGGGTGGGGTGGGAGGGTGGAGGGTCAGTCCCCAATCCTGGCTCCAAACATTCCACCCCAACGCAGCCACAGGGAGCTCAGGGCCAAGGCAAGAAGGAAAGAAACCAGCAGTAATTGCTGTTGGTGCAGGTAGGAAAGCAAAGACATGGAAATACCTGCTTGGCTTCAGAACACCCCATTGCCTCTGATATAGGGTGGCATGAGAAAAAAGGTAGTCCTGTGCAGGGAAGGAGATTACAAGCTGCTGATGCCACCTAGAAGGGAAGGAAGTGCCCAGCCAGGTCTTTCCCCCACAGCAGCTGGGCCTCCCTAGGTAACACCACCTTTTATTTTCAGCATTCATCCTTCTGTGTTTGTTATACAGGAGGTCAGACTAGAAGATCACAGTCCCTTCTGACTGTAAAAATCTATGAATAACTATGAGATTTTTCCTGGAAGAGAAGAAAAACCCTCAGCAGCTGCTGATTCTTCTTACTTTATCTGCTTTAAAACAATGAAACAAAATCCAATGGTTATGGAAATGACTGGGAACTGAGTCTTTAAAAGTAAAATTTGCAATAGCAGAGCCTAGGGATACTGATATGCTGAGCCTCTGATTCACTGTTCTGCCTACAAAGAGTGGAGCAGATGTTGAGTCTTTTATTTCCCAGACATCTGTGAAGATTTTTGATGTCCCTGTTGAAAATCACATCCTGCTGTTCACCCCAATGAACTCGGAGCCGTTCAATGAGATTTATGAAAACTACCAGTCTGCTGCTGCAGAATTCAGAGGAAAGGTCTGTAACACTGAATCCAGATTTGCAAATAGGAATGCCAAAAGATCAGTATTACTGGTAAAAATACACTGCTGTCAGTCCAGCTTCAAACTCTACCAAACCATTCAAAAACAGTTTCATAAACTATTATTTGAATTTGTTAAGGACAAGCTGAAAGACAAACTTCACTTGGAAATGATTATTTAAAACACAAAGACCATAAAGAAGAGCACTAATTCCAACTGCTCCAAATTAACCTGTTTCTGATTTTACAAATACTATTTTCTGGGAGAAACTTCCAACCAAATGTAGTTTTAGCAAAATTCTGGCAATTTCTGGCTCTACCAGGAAATACCACGAGGATCTCAGAATATTGCCCGAAGAAAAGCCTGGAGCCAGCTACAAAACCTGAGGAATATTGCAAGGTATGTGCATAGCCTTGCCTGCAGCAGTGTGTTTGCATGTATAGAGATAGTTATAAGCAGTATATACAATACCCAAGTATTTTGGTTTTCTGTAGTGCTACTCCTGTTCCTGGTACATGAGACACTGAAGAATAGGAAGTCATCTTGTAGTCAAATATCACATATTGGTAAATACATATGGATTACAGTGTTTCAGCTCTTCTGTCCTGTGAAGATTTATGAAAAGTGTAATAAGCACTTTGGGGGGTAATTTAGAAGTGTTACTGAAAGACATGATAGCAAAGGAATGTGAAGGGACAGAGGGAAAAACTTCAGTACTTCTGTCTGCTTTAGCATTTGTTATTAACTAGGATCAAGCTGTAATAAAGTCCACAGAGCTTCTGGGTTTTGGTCTGAGACCAAAAATGATTCTGCACAGTTCCTTGAATTTAAGGTTAGATCCTACCCTGCAGCCAAGCTCCACAATCCATTTGTCCAAAATGGCTAAACCAAAGCTGGAAGGTTCAACCAGACGAATGATTTTCTCTTTGTAATCAGATATTGTTTGTTTTGGTGGATACTAATGAAGCAAGGAATGGACGGATTTTTGAGTATTTTCGCATCAGGGACATTGATGTTCCTGCTGTGAGAATCCTAAATCTGACCAGCGATGCCAGGTACAAAATGCCTGCGGATGAGGTGACTGTGGAGAACCTGAAAGAATTTTGCCAGAGCTACCTAAATGGAAAAACAAAGGTATGTCCATTACTAATGAGACAGCTCTCTAGTACCCCAGCTTGGCAGAGCACCCCCTTTAAAAATTAGAACAGTGTCCTGTTGTGATCACTGGTTTATTAATCTACTGTCACCCTCATGTATTCATCTACCATCTACAGCTGTTGACAGAGCATTCCTCTGTATTTAACAACTGAGGTGGACTACAAGTCCTCCAATGAAAATCCTGGATTGATCATTTTTGCCCAATATCTTAATAGATGCCAGCTGTTTTATTTTAGTGGTTTAAAAACTCCCTGTGCCTCTATCTTTCCAATACTATAATGGAGATATTTCCTTTCCTTTGCTGAGGAGAGATTCAAACAATCACTGAAACAGATTTTAAGGTTACAGAAAAATCCAGTAAATCAAAAAGTGACAGTTTCAGAGGGGATTAACATTTGGTATTTGTTTAAAGCAAGTTTAGCAAAGTTAATTTTCCCAGGGGGATCATTCCCAATGGTAAATATAGCATTTGTTGCCATAATGAGGCATCATCACACTCCTGTGAAAAATACATAAAAATGTTGTGCTTATTCAGTGCTCCTCATGGTGATTTACAGGGAGAAAACATAAAGCAGTCAGAATTAAGGAAGAATTAAGTAGGAAGAATTAAGGAGGAAGAATTAAGGAAATGTGAGTAGATAGATCCTGTATTCAGTGTTGGAAGGGAGCAGAAGGATGGAAGCAGAGGGGATTTGGCCTCTCTCACCAAGATCTGCTTCCATGGGGTACATGTGCCTTTCTGCTACTGTGCCATGGTGTTCAAGAAGATAAATTCCCAGCTACTGCACTGTAAATTGTGGAAGTCATGTGAGGACCATGACTGGAGGTGAAGGCAGAGATTTAAGCAGCAATGCACACTTCCTGGTGTGTTTTACATCACTTTTGAAAGCCCACAACACCCAACACCAAACTGTTCAGTAGTCCAGCTTCTGAACATTGGGCAACATGAATTCAGGACAAGGAATACAACTGTGTTCCAAGGGGTCATTTTCAGACAGTGTGCTACAGCTCTGTACTCAAGGGAGGGAAAAGTAGTTCTGAGTACCAACTACCCTGGGGTGTGAGATCACAGCTCCTGCTGAAGGGAGAGAAGCTGGAACCAAGGCTGACCAGGATGTAATGATATAAAAGAGTTATCAGACAGTAACAGAGCACATTAGGTAATGTCCCATCAGTCTCACATTAACTTGAGCTAGAGTACTGTTTCTCAATGTTCCCTGCACTTTCACAACAATGTTTCTTTTTCTGGTCAGAAACATCTCTCTAGTGAAGAAATTCCACAAGACTGGGACAAGATGCCTGTCAAAGTGCTTGTTGGGAAGAATTTCAACAGTATCATCTTCAATAAGACCATGACTGTATTTGTTATGTTTTGTAAGTGTTGTCATTAAATTCAGATTTTAAGCTATAACATGATCAATTGGAAGGAAAAAAATGAAAACTCATGCTTATACATACCAAACTAATCTTTGCACTTTACAGAATCTGAGCTCAATGAATTTTTAGTGTTTATGGAAAGAACTGAAGCAAAATTTGTGTTATATCTACGGAAATGCTGTGATACCTTTGCTGACTTAGTGTTGCACTGAGCAGCACAGGATCTTTTCAGTAAATATTTGTCAAGGCCATATGAAATCTCTGAGTTGAAAGACAGGACACTGGAACATCATGGTGTACAATGGAAGTGTGTTACATGGCATGAGTCAGGCTGTCTTCCAAGGCAGAGGGAGAGTTAAGTGTGTTTGTCTGGTTATAATGCTCTAGGATTAAATCCCAGATAGGAATTGTGGTTTAGGAAATGGTAACTTTTCTCCTCCTCTATCTGCAAAGGATGTGGCTTCCTTACATGACTCTTCCCAGCAAGAAACCTCTGCCCTCTCCTTGTACCAGCCAGCAGGGATTAGTTTGTGCCTTAGTTACTTCAGTAAAGCAAATGTGCAGTGTTAACAGAAGTATAGACAACTAGTTGTACTGCCCTGAATTCCAGAAATTCCTAAAGGTAGTACATTCCTGCCACCCTCCCTGTTGGCTGCAGCTGTGTCATTCACACAGGTAATTTTTACATTTCAGCATCACGAACAAACTGAATGATCTAAGCAAGAATTGAACCAAGTCCTCTGGAAAGGAAAGGCAGGGAATGTATTCAGTCAAGTGCTCCTGAAATTGCAATTCTGTATGAACCAAGTGTAAGCATTGTTCTCCCAACAGAGGGACTGCAAGTGTGCTGTGAGCTTTCTAAAGGGACCCTGGGCCCTCAGCAGTTTCCCTTTCTGGTGATTGCATCTGTGCAGTGCTGAGTCAAAACAGCACCATGACTCAAACTTCTCTTTCTAGAGTCAACATAGCATGGTTTGTGAACACAGTTAATTTTAGTATGCAGGAAGTATTTTGTAGTTCTGACAAGTATTTAAACACAGGAATGATGCAAGACTTAACGTGGGTTGTGCTGGTTATCTGGCACACCTCTCCAGCAAAGTAGTCCAAGTTCTGTGTTTTTTACAGTCATAAAAGGCTAAAGCAGCACTGCTACCAGAAATGTGTTAGTGAATAACTAGTTATCACTACATGGAAATGTGAAATTCATGAAGGGCAAATGGTTCCAAGCAGATATTCACCACAAACCCTGAAGGGCTAGAAAGGTCCCTGTGATTGTGCCACCACGTGCACTTCTGTGTCCTTATAATTTTACTTTTAAACTTGCAGATGCCCCTTGGTCCCATGAGTGCAGAAAACTCCTGCTGATCTGGGATAAGCTGGGAGAGCAATACGAAAGTCACAAAGACATCATGATTGCAAAGATTGATGTCACATCCTGTCGGTGGGGCTGGGTCACTCTCCCTTCTTCTCGCTCTTCCCTGCCGGCGCGTGCTACCAGGTGAGAGCTCCTGGGGGAAACTGGGGAGGCACAGCAAGGCAGGGGCTGTGCTTGCACCTGCACAGGTGGCACAGGGACAAAGGAGTCCTTTCACTAGGAAAGCTTTGGTCCTTTTCTGCTCAGCACTGGCTTCTGAATGATATTGCTGCCAAGCTCCTGAATTAGAGGAGAAACTCTTCTAGTGTCTCATCCTATACATGTGGCTGTGGCAAGAGCTCAGGTATCATTTACTCACTTGGACTACGAGTCCTTAGGGCCCCACATCCTGCAGTTCAACACTGCCCACTCAGCTTGTTGGGTTCTAGCAACAGTCTCAGCTTGGGTGAATTTACAGATACCTCCCAATGACTACAGTGCCTTTTTATCTCAAACCATGACAAGAGATCTTCTCTCAAAGAACTACTTGTGCTAATTGTTTCCAGAGCATGTATGATAAATGTCTCTAAAATGTTGATACTGCTCTTGTTATTTTCCTCTGCATTTCCAGAAAACTCAAATAAAAACATTTCTTCTATATATTTAAGCCAGTAATTTTACTTCATTCTGGTATCCCAGCCTCCACTGGTAAAAAATATTTGTTGTCAAGACCAATGATTTTTGCAATATGCTACCTATCCAATCAGCTATGTTACACAATAATTAGAAAATGCTGCTGAAAGTGGAGGCAAAAAAATGCTAAATAGCTACATTCTCCATCTATGTAGATTATCTAATTAAAAAGAAAATATCACTGAAGTAAAAAGAAAAATTAAGATACCACTATAATTAAGGCATTACTAAGCTTTTCATTTTTCTTTTTAGTAGTAAACTTAAATTAAGTTCTAAGACATTTACCCATGTCCTCATTTAATCTTTGAGAGATATTCCTCTCAGATGTGCATGCACAACTTCTGATGAATTGAAGTGCAGTCCTGCACACTCACACGATGTAAGTCTTCTGGCAGAAAAGCAGAAAACCTTTAAATGCTCAAAATAAATGTCAGTTTGCAAAAAAACCAAATACACAAACAAAAAAGCCCTAAACCAGTAAAAACTTTCATTAACTATTAAGGGATTGTTTCATAACTGAAAACACTCTGGAATTAAAAGCTATTTGAAATCTCAAGTTCTTCCTTGTGCACCATGTTTTTGCACTACTTCCCTCAAGTGCAGAGATTTCATCTAGTACTTGGCTAGCAGTGCAGATTCCTGCAGATGTCTGTTCCTATGGGTTGAGAAAAATAACTTTTCCATACTCCTATGCACAGATTACTGTAGTGAAAAGTGTTGACACATATCCCCAGTAACCACTGCAGGAATCAGCTGTTTCTTTGGCTTTACAGGTTTTCAGGCTCTGAGAAACTGGTGTTTCAGCCATCATCAGAGTTGATAAAAATCAAGACTCAGCTGAGAATGTTAATTGCCTCTGGAGAAATAAAAGAATCTTTCTTGAGAAAATTAAACTTACAAACATAAAAACCATAAAAAAGTAGTTTCAAAGCTGCCACACTTTTTATTAGAATGCAATGGAAACACCAAACTTCTAGTGTACAAAAAGTGTACTATTTTAGTGAACTCACCAGTCTGGTGGTGTTTTATTTAGTCCTTCAAACTCAAATCAGGTGTAAGAGTGCCCAGTGTAAAGTAACACGACATTATTTGCCTCAGTGGGAGTGAGCTTAACCCAGCTGAGATTAGGCCTTCACCTATTTCTAAATACACTCAGATAACAGCAGAAAAGTCCCAGTGTCATGTACATTAATTTCTAAAACTTTTTTCTAAAACACTTGTGCAAAACCCTTTTACACTTCCAGAGAACAAAGATTTTTTTGGGGAGGAATCTTTAAGATACAATATGGTGCCTAGACCCACTCAGAAAATTTCAAAGATCTAAACTGAACCTACTTCTTTAATTAAACTTCCTCGGAAGAAAATCCTCATGAAAATGCCCAATTTAAGGTGAAGAATAAGGAAATTAATGTCACTGCTCATCTTCACCCTCTTCTTTCAAGCTGTGCAACAGTGTATTTCAAAACTTTTCCAGAGTTTGAATTCCATCAAAATCTTTGAACAGCTTTGAATAGCATGGCTGGACACTTAAAAGACTCTGCTCTTCAGAATATCTTGCCAATGTTTATTGTTAAGCACAAAAACCCCCACTGATGTCAGTAGCTGCCAGGATACCCAACTAGTACCACAAGATAATGGTTGTTTTTTATACAAATCCTTTTCTTCTGAGGAATATACATCTATTTCTTCTTTACACTCAATTTTCATATAATGTTGGAACCTGCTGTTTCTCTGCACTTGCTTTCTAAACTGAGTATAAAAGTCTAGAGTTTGGTCAGCCTAAAGAACCAAAATCCTCCACCTCATTTTGCCATTATTTCCAACATTTTGTGTACAGAATTAAATACTTAACTTTAAATTTTTTTTCAGGAAGTGGCCTATACTGGAGCATACACATTAGAGGCATTTTCTGAATTCTTAGAAGAACAAAGAAAGACAGAGCAGAACCAGGAGAGAAGGTAGGCGCTGATCCAGACCTGATGTGCTGTGTAACCCAGGCAGGTCCCCAGCGTGTGCAGACACTGCTGGGCTGGCTGGAGCACAGCCACTCTCCTGGGCCCTGCTCGTGCCAGGGCTGGGGTGGTTCTCACCAGCTCCTGCCTGCTTCCATCCCCACAGCAGCTGCAGTCATGTAGCACAGCCTGGCAGGCACACACCCACTCACATCCTTGTTCTTGTCACACAAACCCCTCATCTCCCACTGCTCATGTCATCCCTGAGTCAACACCGGCAGCGAGCACTGCCAGGCACAAAGGAGCCTGCGCCCTGACAGGTTGCAGCAGCACTTGTTCACAACTTTAGCTGGAAAAAACAAAGCCCCAGCTAAGTGTCAGAGTTAAAGTTGTTCAAATCTCCATTGCCCAGTTCATTCTGCTGCATTCAGTGCAGCTTCTCTTCCTCGTAAAACAAGGACACAACTGAGAGCACAGTCCCTTCTCTGAGCAAGTCCAGTTCCTTGACCCTTTCTTCTGCACTGTAAATCAGACCAGAGAAGTGTTTGCTGTCCCACAGCTGCCTGTTATTTAATCACAGACACTTCACTGCAAAAAGACACAGGGTAAGTGAACAATGTCACCGATCTCCACACAGAGAATGCAAACAACAGAAAAATCATGACATGTAAATGGAAACACTGTCTGCCCAGTATAAGAATCCTGGGCCCTTTCTGCCCAGAATGAAGTGGGACCACAGGGTAGCAATTGTTATTAACACTCTTTTCAGCTGGTAGGAAAACTGTGGGTAGAGAAACAGCTTTGAGTATTCAGACTTATTTCCACCAGAGGCTTTGATTTTCCCCTGCATTCAGTGCTTCAATATGTAGATACTGATGGAGGGGGATGACTAAACTAGTACTGGGACACTGAAGGCTGCAGAGCAGGAGCAGACACCCACCTCTGCCCAGTCACTGCACAATTCTGCTTTCCCAAAGCCTACAGCTGATGTCTGCCTCTTGCATGTTCCTTAGTGCTGTGTTTCAAGCAGATCTGTTGAGTTCTTCACAGTCTTTTCCATGCAATATTTGAGCTCTGTATATTCTGCTGTCTCTTCTTCATGCTTTATTTCATATGAGAGAATAAATTAAAAAGTCAGCTTAGAAAATACCACTCAAAACCATGCTCTGTGTAGCAAAAGGAGTAAGTACCTGGCATTTTCTCACCTGTTCACTTTTTTGTTCACATTTTTCACCCTTATCTGACACCCACCACATTTTCCCAGAAGATTGCAATATTAGACCATTTGCAGTGCAGTGCTTGATATGAACTTCCCTCTTGAAGTAATTCTCCATCCTCACTTCAGGGCATTCCCAAACATACAAACAAGATAAACAGGGTACTTTCTTTTGAGATTGCCAAAGAAAGACAGTCTTGTGCCCATCAGCACATGTGGTATTCTAAGTTCATATTAAATCTTCATACAAAACTTCATCTAAGCTTTGCCATAAACCAGTGAAAATGTTTGAAAACAAAGTGCATTTTAGCAACAGCTGCACAATTTTTGACCTCATTAACAAGACCACAAGTTCCTTGGTTCAAAAGATGAAAAATCTGCATTTCAACTGATCTTAAAATGTTTGGTTTTTTTTTTTTTTAAGATTTACTAGAGTCTTTGTGAACATTTGTAATAAGCAATTTTAATTTTGCATTTCCTTTTTTAAAAGGATCCTTTGGGAGGAATCAAAGAGGATTTCAGCCAAAAGGAAACTGTAATAACAGAGAAAGAACTTTAATAGTACAGAGAAAGAGAAATATTCTCAGGATTGTGAGGAATCCTTCCTGGAAGGAGCTCACTGGAAGAATGATTCATCTCAAGTGAACACAGAGCTGAATAAAAAAAACAAAAGTAAAGAATTTAGTATCCATAGCTTCTTATGTGTGACTTCTCTTCTGAATCCAATTTAACTCCTAAGTTTTACTGGGATAATTTCTCATGGGTTCTTAAAATACTGTCAATTTTGCTTAAGCAGTGGTTTTATTATTAATAAAACTACTCTTCTTTAGAAAGGTGTGTATGCTGTGGCAAACAGACCAAGATATAAAATTACACAATCTGAACAAGATCTGCAACAAGATTACAACTGATTGCTCAGCCCTCTTGTTCTCAAAGGAGATTAAAGAAGGGTCCCAAAAAGAAGGGACTAGCACTGCAAAAAGCATACCTAAAGTGATCTTCAGAAGAAGTAATTGAAGCTAGGGGCTGTGCCCAGAGGGGCAGCAAGGAACAGCTCATGATTTTTTTATTATCAAGTACTAAAAATGCAGAAATAGAGAAAAAATTTAATTCCAGTTAGAAAAATAGCATAGCTAACACACAAAGTCACAAATATTACTCACATTTTAGTTATATGAGGTCCCTTAACCACTCCTCACATGTTGAAGAAGTGAGACAGGTGAAACTGCTGGACAATAGTAATTTCTTCCTGCAAGGACCAGATAAAGTAGAAATTATTCCAAAAATTTGAAACATTTTCTTACACAATTAGGGAAGGAAGAACACTTATCAGAATTTAATTTCAGAAACAAGTGTTAAAAATCTCTGTTTCCAAATTGTTAATGCTAATAATCACTTTTTTTACGTAAGCAGGGGAAAAATAGGGAAGACTTAGAAAAGGAAGGAACACCCTTTGAATGGAAGAAGGCTCCATCACTGCAGGGAAGAATACAGCACTGAGGGGAAGCATGGAGACCCCCTAACCCTCACCTGTCACACCAGTCAGCAAGAGAGGGACAGTTTTAAAGTACTGGACCCCTTACATTTTATGATGGTTTCTAAAAAGTGCAGTTCATGACAGGTGCCTTGTTTGCCATCCAGGTTGCAGCATGTAGTCAAATAAGCACACTTTGAGATTTAAGGTGAATTATTAACTTCTTTACCTCACAGTTCTTGCAAATAAATAGGGCTCCACATGCACCACACCTCAGGAGGCTGTCAGCTGCTCTTCACTGATGAGGAGGTAGCAAGGAGACACAGAAAGGAAAACAGTTTATGTTGATTCCCTGTGGGCACATCTCTGCTGGGATTAATGCTCATTGGGACTGCAATTAAATCCACTTAATGGAAGAGGATTCTTGTGGAAGCATCTTCAGTGCTAGACCACCACTCCTATATTCCATAAAACCTATTCAGGTTTTCTGCCAGAAACATCACCCAAATGGGGAGAAGGAGCTGAGAGCAGGAAAATACAGCTTAAAAGTCAGCACTGTAGAGGTGAGAGATGGGAGCAACAGCTGAGTTATTACTATCTGAAGAAAAATTCTTCTTTGAAGATGACAAGTAAAGTTTAATTCACATGTTTTTAATACAGAGTAAATTTTTGATAGAACTGCAGTACAGTAGAAACCAAGTCATACTGTCACTTAATGGCATGAGGAAAGGATGGGATGGTTTTAAAGAGTTCAAGCTAAGTTTGCTGTGGGGAGCAGCTCCAGCTGGACAGTTGGGTTGCAGTTGGCAGTAAATGTTTCTCAGCACCCTTATTAAGAGGACTTCATTTACAAATACCACAGAAACAATGACTTGCCAGTTTGACCACTGAGGTGTACTGAAGCTGCCTCTCTGACACACACTGAGGTCAGTTCTCCTCTGGATATCAAACGAGTTCTCTGGGACAACCCCAGTGGGACCTTGGACAAAGTAAACCTGATCACTGCTGGATATTGGGTTTCATGTGACTTTCATTTAACATTGGGCATTCATTAATACACAGAAGCCTTCATTTGATATCCTGGGAGATCAGATTAGGAAGAGAATGAGATGAACTGAATCCCAAAGAGAGGGAAGTGTCCGTGTGCTTTCCCTTTGCTGCTTGCAACATGATGAAATCTGAATGGCAAGCAGTGCCACCAGTATATTTTGACCAACTATTAATCACAGAAGCTGCAATCTTTTAATTAGTCTCCTTCCAGAAAAATAGAGCCAGCAATGTTCAGCACCAGTCTGTATCTGGCAGATGGGTTTACCAATCAAGATAATGAAAAAAAATTAATTTTCACTGTGTCTACCCACTGTATACAAGGTTCAATCCTGAAACTGCTACTTATCCTATTATGAGGTGCAAGATTACATTTTAATGAAAACACGTGACATCTCACCAATGATGTTCTCATTTTTGTTCCAGCCACTCTCAGATGTGCTGCCAAGGCAAGGGGCTGAGGGCAGACTCACATGCCATGAGCTGACACATGACAAGAGTTGCAAATTTACTTCATAAAACGTGTGCTAAAAGCCTGCTTGAATCACATCTCTTCCTTGTCAAAATTCTGCCTTACTGACTGAGTTCCTCCATGTCTCAGCCATGGTAGAAGGAGCCCGTGGTGCCAAACAAGTGACCTGGCACATTACCTTGTTCTCCCTCTGATTCATGTCAGCTACAGAATATATTCCTGGAACAAAAATTTAAAAGTGTCACAATGAGAATTGAGCTCTAAGTTTGTGAAATGCAATCCCTTCCTCAAGCTTTGCTAAGTCAAACATTACTTCTTTTATTTCAGTCTAAACATGAAGAGAATCTGTTTAATTTTAACACATACATCATTATAACTGTGCTTAGACATTCTAAATATTACTTAGAACCATTAAAATTTTAAAAATCAATATTTATTAGCCAAACTTGTTTCTGTAAATGAATACCAATATTTTGAATGCCCCACTCACATGAATAATCTCCTCATGCACATAAATAAGTCCTATCAATTAAGACAGACAGGACTAAGTAAAGAGATATGAATGCATACCAGCAATGGAGTTGCTTTAATCTGCACTGGTTATAAATATGGAGCAGCAGAAGCAACACTCTCAGCTATGAATCTTAATTATAAACAGCATCACAAAGTTTAGTACAAAAAAGGGACAAACTTGAACCATCTCCAAGAAATGCTGACTTGTGTTTTTTATTCTGTGATAGCCTATTCTGCCTTAAAATACAAGCTTTGAGCACCTTGCAGATAGAAATGCATCTCATTAAGTTCTGTTCTTAAATCCTGGAGAAGAAAAATGTTGTTCAGAACTGACAATCATTCATAGATGCTCAGATGAACAGGAAAAAAAAATAATCAGTCTTAATGAGAACTATAGTAATTCTTTTCCTCTTTACAACAGATTAATCCTAAGTAATTTCCCTGGAATTACTTTCAGCTGGCATTAGCATAACAACAATACATTAAAAGAGATTAATACAAATACAAAACAAATGCAACAACTGTTCAAAAAAATCCCCTTGATGTGTGGCAGTGGCATAATTGGTATAAATCAAAAAGTCTGGCTTGGAGGTCACAAACTCCTGTTGGTAGAAATAGATGTGTGCTATATGCCTGAAGGCTAACAGGATAATCAGGGACAGGGGTCTAAAGCCAGTATTTCAGACATTTCATTCAGAGAATTGCATTGTCAAACTCATTAAGAAGTTTGATACTCTTGTCTTTCTCTCACACTGCTGACAGCAAAGAGAGGAGAGTTTGCTCCAAGGACTCAATGATTTAATGCAGATATATTAATAAAAAGGAACAAGTCACACGTTTATAAAAATGTGCTCTTGTGTTAACTCAAGTGAGTTGGGCCAGTGGAAATTACTCAGCTCAGATATTTGAAAACCATGCTCGGTATAATGAGCTGTGAAGGGGCAAGGAACCTGTGTTCTTTTGCAGCTTTGCTGTGGGAAAAGCTTTAAAGCCATTTGTCCCCTGGGCTTGTGGCCACGCTGTTGTGCTGTGCAGCAGGAGTCTCACACAAGCTGTCAGTCGTTCTCTCAAGCTTGTGTCCAACTCAGAAGGCTTCCAGGAGCACCTCACTGCTGGACTTGATCCACCACATCTGAGGAGTGGCAGGGCTGGGGCCCGAGCCAAGGGCAGCTCTGCCACTGGAGCAGGCACTGTCCCTCCTGCAGCAGCCCAGCAGGGTCACACACTGCCCAGCGAGCCCTCAGCTTGCACTTCCTGAGAGTCACCTTGGAAATATTTGCTTTCTATAAAACATTGACAGAGCTAAAGCTGTGCCAGTGCTGCTGCTGAACAAACATGCAGTGGCTGCCTTTTCCCAGAGCCTGCCAGCTGCTCCACACCAGCTCCTGTGTGGGGAATTTCCTGCGCAGAGACCCTCACTATTCACACACTGGACCTGCATCACCACTTCAACACATACAGTGAACTCAAACAGCTAAAGAATCATTTTCTCCCCCTCCCCAGGAAGAAACAACATGCTGTATTTCATTTGAGCTCTCCTGGGCAAATGCATGTTACCAATAACTACAAGCAGTGAATAATAAATATTAATAAAGCACCTAATTGGAATCCTGTTGAAAAGCACTTTCTCCAGCACAGCTGGCAAGAGCCCCCTTGAACAAATGCTGCTTTCTTGCCAAGTACAACACAGGTAGTCAGAACTAGTCAGCAGAGGCTAAGGACATATGTGAACATCATGCTGAAACCTGAGCTTTTCAAAGCGTGTGTTTTATAGACTGAAGTAATCTGGGAATCCTGCCTACATTTCCCTCCTCTGGCCTTGTCATTTTTGAGAAGATGCTGGTTATTTCTCAGCACCCCCACCACATGCTAACAGAGTCCTGAGCTAAACCAGCACCCTGGGACAGCATTCCCTCCAGCCTCTACGTGCCAGGGCTCATCACCAATGGTTGCCAGAAAAACAGTTCTTTTAGACCAGTAACAGATGAAAGGGTTCACAAAAACTAGTTAGCTATGATTTCCTTTCACTTAATTTGACACTGGTGGGTCTCTGCCTGCCTTGCCTCATCCTCCTTGCCTCCAAAGCACTGCTATTTGCTGAGTCAGGAAGAAAACCCACCCACTTCCACATGGTCCTAATCCTTTTCCAAAACAGCTCTTGGTCAAAGTCTTTTAACTTCAACAGACCAAGGTATTTGCACAGAAATCACATTTGCTTGGAAGAGTCTGACTACATTGCAAGAATCTGTTTTAGCCTGGTTGCACAGCATCAAGTGCCTCTGGGAATACTTGGGTTTTAGGGTGGCAATTACAGTCTTTGTAAGAGCCAACTGTGGGGTGCAACAGCTTTCTAACTGGCATTAAATACATAGTCTAGTCTAAACGATTTTTGTTCTAGTCCTTAATAATTTCTATGTAATCCTTTAGAAAGACTCTTTGAAAAAAGAGACTTTTAAATGTTCACTTAATTGACAATTGTTGCTGTAAATTATGTCTGTGTATTTTTATACTTTCAACCCCTTGACTAAGATGCTGTCTGGCATAAGAATTCTTAAGACATATTCCTCAGAGAATGCAGTGGTGTGGAAATTTGAAGGATGTGCTCCCCCAGCAACCAGAGAAGTTCATACAAGACAAGGAAGATGGTCTTCTATGGAACACTCATTGGTGAAAGTGAACCATAATTTGCAAAACACAAAAAGAACATCCTTTGTGATAAATGAATCTATTCATTTTGAAATTTTGCAACCTGAAACCTTCTCTTCCAATCAAGAGCCACTGGGGTTTTTTTGAACTGAACAAATTCTCATATATATTGAGGACACATGAAATACCTCCCTCAATATGTTTATTCTTCTATAGCCTTCTTCCTACTCATTTATCCAAGCTTAGTAAAACACATATTTCAATCATGAGTTCAGAGGTGTGAAATGAGGCCGTGTGGCTTGGGAAAGCCATCCCGGAGCGGCGAACAGCCGGAGCTTGAGGCCAGCGCCGCGTACCGGGCTCGGGGCTCGCAGGAGCCGCCCACCGCAGCCTTCGGGGACCCGCATCCCCGCACAATTCCCACGGCTCCACCGCCACCTGCCGGGATGTCCGGGCATCCCAGCCCGGCTCGGGACCCT